TGCTGGTTTTCAATATCAAAAAAGCAAACTTCAATACATAATGTAATCAAAACAGAAACTGCAAATGCCTTAACAAAACTGAAAAAAGCAAAAATCACCAATAAACAAGCAATATATATAATTAACGCAGTCATTCTTACCAGAATTAGCTACAGGATACAAAACACAGCACTGCTATCTACTATATGCACTCAAATTACCAATACCTATATCAACTCGTAAAACACAAAGCAAGCCTTGCTACATCAATCCTGAACTTAACAATATTCCACAATGCAATATATGCCCTAAAAACAGTAGAGGATATCCAAAATCAGCAACACATCTCCCTTATCTTGTACCAACTCAGTTACCTAGAGTTCAATATATCAACCTTCAAAATTAGACTCCAACAACTACAGAATGCAGCCGCAACCACACAATCTATCCTCCAACACTATAACTATACAATTGCACAACCTAAACACCTCTCACTCTCAGCTCAAATGCTCAAAAGCCTACAAAATACACAGATTCTATTAGAACATCAAAACAACAACTAGCCTATACCATTAACAAAACCAGGACTCCCAATCAACACAGTACTACAATATCTTAAAACTCTACACTTAGTTAAAAAAAGCTTGAATTGACTTGGCCTAGTTGTAGTTGAGCAAATTACAAACATCACACAAACAAACACTATCTTCTGGACTCACCTTCTACAAACCATCCAAAAAATCCCACACGGCAAAAAACCAAAATAGTTTACTAAACTAACTAGCATTGTACAGAAAGAGATCTTGACCAATAGAACTCATCTAATCACACCAAATCCATATATCTGATATGAAGCCTCTATGGTGAAATTAAAATAGATTGCTGACCCTACAGAGCTCAGCATCAGAAAAATTATATCCATAAAACAAAATAAAGCAACAATCTACCACTGGCAACTCGACTATACAGACCACACCATAAAATCATGCTCTGGCTGTGAAATTAATAACCCTAGGATAAAAAACAAAAAATGCACTTTTAGAAAACCACTCAATCAAATCACTACAATACAGGTAGACTGCAACCGCAAAATCCAATGCAACATCAATGAAGTGATGAACAGCAACCACTATAC